GGGGCGGGGGGTGGGGTGCGGTAGGGCGAGTGTTTGGCGGGAGGGCAGGAGGGCAGGAGAGGGCGAGGCTGGACGGCGGGTGGGTGGCGATGGGGGAGGCGGCAGGCGCGTGCGCAAGCACGCGCCCACAGCAACACACGCAGCGCCACAAACACGCTGCGTCAACCCGAGCGCACACACAGAGCCACACTCCACACACACACACACACACACGCGCGCGCACACACACACGCACGCACGCACACACGCACGCACGCACACACACACACACACACACCTGGAAGGGAATGCCCTCCTCCTGCAGCATGCCCGCCAGCACCTCGGACTTCTCCACGCTGGTGGTGCCCACCTGGCACAGCATGACCACAGCACGCACAGCGTGAGTACACCGCGAGCACGGCAAGCACAGCACGAGCACGGCAAGCACAGCATGACCACAGCATGCGCAGCAGGACGTGCGTTGGAGGAGGGCGCCCGGCGCGGCACGGGCGCGGCGTGGGCAGCGCAGCGCAGCACAGCACAGCACAGCACAGCAGGTGCAGCATGGACAAAGCATGGAGCGCGGAGCGGCACGGCACCAGCACGAGCAGCGGTCCGGGCCAGGCCCGGATCCTTCATGAATGCATGCAGCGAGCAGCTTCCGCGCAGCTTCCCACCAACACGGGCCGCCCCGTCTTGTGCATGCGCCGGATCTCCTGCACCACCGCCTTCCACTTGCCGCTCTCAGACCTGCGGGAGCGAAGAGGGGGTGCCAGCGGGGGCGGGGGGAGACGGGCAAGGCAGGGGAGGGTTGGAGGGGTGGGCACAGGGCGCTGCGCGGCGGCTGCCGGGCATGCAGCGATGAGGGGCCCCGCCGCCGCCACCACGCACCGGGCCAGCACGCGGCCGCTCACGCAGCCGCACACGCACGCACTCAAACACACACACACACTCAAGCACATGCATACACACACGCGCATGCCAACGGCGAATGCACACACTTCAAAGCACACACACATATAACACACACACACGCGCACACACACGCACAGCCGGGCACCTGAACACGACATCGGGGTTGTCCTCGCGGGATACCGGCCGGTTGGGCGGTACCACCGTCACCGGCAAATTATAGATCTGCGAGAACTCGGCCGCCTCGGTGGCGGCGGTGCCGGTCATGCCCGCCAGCTTGGGGTACGCCCGGAAGAAGTTTTGATAGGAAATAGAGGCGAGGGTGACGGACTCCGACTGAATCTCCAGCCCCTCCTTCGCCTCGATCGCCTGGTGCAGACCGTCCGACCAGCGGCGGCCGGGCATGGTGCGCCCCGTGAACTCATCCACAATGATGATCTGTGGGAGGGGGTGGGTGTGGGGTTGTGGGTAAGTGCGGGTTTGGATGTG